TTGATGGGTGTAGAGTTAGAGGACTTTAAAGTGACAGGTTAAAACCCCCAACTTGGTTTATTATTTTAGGTTCTGATATGAGAATGTTAGCCCCCAGGTGGAGAGAATCGAAGGAACTTTAGAGTGAGAGCTAGTATCTTCTCTGTCTAGTCGGTCTTTAGAACTACTCAAACTTTAAATTAGTCAATATTCTTTATATCATCTCTAGTAAGGGCTCTAGTAAGGGTAAAGTAAGGGTAAAGAATATTATTGCTTCTATTTGACACAACACAATTTTGCATACTTCTACAACAGAATTTTTATGCTTATTACGGATTCATGATATGAAGAAAGATATTTTCATATTAAATACTTTTCTTCTACAAAAACTTTAGTTATCTTTTTACTGTTTCGTTAAAATATTAAAAATATCAAAAATATTTTATCAAAAATATTCTGCAAAAATCATTTTTAGTTTAAATAATTATCTTTTTTAAAAAATAGAAAAAACTTTCTAAAAAGTGCAAATAAATCCAATATAAGAAAATAAATATAAAATAGGGAAGCAAATAACTTAAGTCTTAATCAAAAAGTCATATATTACTTGATACGATACATATACTTGTGTAGTGTCTCAATACAAATATATATAAATTAAAATTTTAAATTTTTATTTTTCTTCACGATCAAGTTTTTGGTTTTGTTGCAAAATAAGGAAACACAAGTAAAAAAATATCATCAGAACTATTGCTATACTGTGCATAAGCATTAGGTATCAAGGGATCAAGTTTGTGGCGTCGTTGTAGGGGATTAAAATCTTCAAGTAGTGGTGTCAACTTCATAAATCCTTACATATACAAAAAATCAGGATCAGCGCCTAAGCGCCCAGAATTGACACCTAAGCGCCAGAGGTTCACCCCTAAGCATCAGGTACCTCGCGCTTAAACGCCAGAAATAGTTATTTGAAGATTCATTGAATTTAGACAAATTTTTGAAGAGGTGTTTGAAGCAACCCTTTGTAAAAATGTGGGAAATAGCTCATGGACTAAAAAATTCATTCAATTAGCTTTTGAAAAGAGGAACTTCTAGAAGATTCATTGAATGAAGACACATTTTGAAGAGACAGCGGGGAACCTTTTGGATTTTTAT